CAGGAGATGGAGGTTGCTGTGAGCTGTAATGCCACGGCACTCTGCCCAGGGGGACAGCTTGAGGCTCTGTCTCAAAAAAAAAAAAAAAAAAAGAATATGTTTTAAATGAAAAAATATAGTATTACATATGCTTTTTACTTTCATTTTTCTATCAGGCATGTCTTACAAATTTTCTCCTATAATTCTGGTTAAATCCTGATGGCCCCAAGATTTTTCAAAGTGAATTATCTGATATTTTATCATGATAGGATGTATTGTGGCCAGATTTGGTCTTAATTTTGTAGCTTGTCAATCTAATTCCTACAATGAGTTCAATAAAATAGTTTGGGCCCCTGTGCTATTCTACCTTGCTGTCTTTATCTTTAATAACTTGGATATTGAAAAGACTATCCTTTGAGTAGTACTTAAGGTGTATTGGAACTGATAAATTGGACTATAATGTTTCTAATTTTAAACAAGCTCTTTTTCTCTTTTCTCAAAACCACTTCCTTCCCTCTTGCTCCAATTTATTCAATAACCAAGAATTCCTTGACCTCGTAATATGCAAAGCTCCAAGGACTGCCAAGTCTGCCAAGGACTGTGAAGAAAAGAAAAGAACATTACGACTCCATCCCATCTGCAAGAAGTCTTCAATAGCACCAGATATAAAAAAGATGCCCATGGTGCAGCAGGGGCCATGACTGAGGGCTGGATTGGACAGTAAACGCCCTGCAGCTCTTGGTTTTCAGGAAATAAATAAAGGAGGGGGAAAAGAGGTATCGCCTCCAGGAGTGACTCCAGCAGCTAATTGTCTTCATCTAGTAAATATTCTAGTAGTAAAAACCTACTCAAAATGAAATGGATTTATGAACACAGTAACTTAAGCGAGAAGACAATGTCAAGATTAAGGTGCCTCTTATCTATCAGTTTAACAGATCCAATACTTGCCAGAGCATTATCTAATGGGAGCAACGTGCATACTTCAAGATGATATGATATGTCTGAAGAAATTGATCATTTAAATGGTTCTGAAATGTCTATAAATAAAGAAAATTTTAAACTTAAAACCCCCCACAAAGTTATCTGTCAAATTGTCGAATGGATACCTTTATTTCGTAGAAACAAGGCTACCGTTTCACATGACAAACTGGTTTATTGATTTAGAAGCCCTCCTTTGAGCTGTGGGACGTTTTCTCCCTCCTCTGTTCCCCAGTCCTGGCCTTTTGTAGATTCAGTATGGTAAGGCAATTTCCCCAGCAGGTTTTGCAGCGCCCCCTCGGGGCAGAAAGATGCACGCAGGAGACTGTCGCAGTCCCCACTTTTAGGCACTGCACCAAACCCTCCTCTGAAGCTCCGCTCAGAAGCCCTTCCCCTCGACATTGAGCTTCCATATTTCCCATCCTGTCCACAACAAAGGCTCTCCTCTCCTCTTCCCTGAGCACACCGCGCACCAGACCATGAGAGTAGCAGCCAGCTCCCACCCCTCCTCTCCACTAGGCTTGCAACCCCAAACTGGACATCGTTCTCTTGAACCACCCCCCCGCCCAGGGCCCCAGCCTCACCCGCCGCCGCCACCCTCGGTCCCCAGCGCGGCGGAGAAGCTGCTCTCCATCCACTCCGACCCTGGGCCCCGGTCTGGCATCTCCCTGGTGCCTGCCCGCCAGCTGTGTGAGGGAGAAACTGTCCCCGCTCCCAGCCCGGTCCTCACGCGTGCGTCAGGCAGGGAAGTACTAGGGCGAAGAGGCGGGCGACGCCGGATTCTAGCTCCCTCCGAGGCCGTCCGGTCCTGCCCGAATGGCTTCGAGAGGGGCAAACCTTTGACCCTGGAGTTAACTTCGGGGAGGGGTGGGGGGGTCTCTAGTTGGCTGCGCGTTTGCGCATCTGCATGTCTCTCTGGAAGCGATGCGTCACAGGAGAGAAACATACATGCTCCCTAAAACAAGAAAGAGGTGTCTTCCACCTCAGTATTCCAGACTCGCAGCAAATTTGCAAATCTGGGATGTCACCATATAGGTCAAACGTCAGTACGCAAACTACGGACCAAAGCACCCGCTGCAGGGATGCTGACCGTAGTCCGTTATCCGTTATTGCCCAGGCAACCAGGCTTAGCCCGTATCCTAACAGATGATAGCCACTAACTGCTTATGCGCACGCGCAACACTCCTTTTGTTCTTCCTGCTTCCTTGCGACGCGTTCCTCACGGGATTTGGGCCGCGGAATGCTCCGCCGTAAGAGGTGTGGCGAAACCGTAGACGTAAAAATAAATGGGATTACGATTGGTTCGCCCTTTACGTTCTCGGAACTCAGTGGGCGTGGCGCGAAGGCTGAAGGAAGTGTGCCTGGCGGCTCCACGAAGCCAGAGCAGACATGCCTCGGTACGCGCAGCTCGTCATGGGCCCTGCAGGCAGCGGGAAGGTGAGGATTTGGGGACAGTCGGAGCTCATGGGAAGCAAGGAGAAGAGGGATTCGGTTCCTGAGGGAGGGACCACCGGGCGTTTGCGTTGGGGACCCTGAGACACAGCGCGAGTCGCTTCTAGCTCTCGGTGCTTTACTCCTTTTTTTTTGTTTGTTTTAAAGGGGGAGTGTGGTAGTCTCCCAAAATGCTGGGATTACAGTCATTAGCCACAAAGCCTAGAGATTTTAACATAGTATAGTAACAACTACGTTAGGGATAACTTGCAAACTGGTAGCCTATTTATTTCTTGAACTGATGTTCCCTATCTTAGAATGCTGTTCCCCTAGGTTGCCAAGCACATTCCCATGTGGTAAAATATCCTGTACTGGGAGACATCACCTCTACTACAAGTCCTGGTAGAGATACTGTCTATTTGGTGCTATGCTATGTAACCAGAGATCGCCTATCTACCCAGTTTGTTTGTTTGTTTGTTTGTTCGTTTGTTTTTGGAAACAGGGTCTGGCTTTGTGGTCCAGGCTGGGGTGCAGTGGCCCAGTTGTAGCTGTCATCTCCAAGTCTTGAACTCAAGTGATCCTCCCACTTCAGCCTCCCAAGTAGCTAAGACTGCGGGCATGCACGTGGCTAATTTTTTTTTTTTT